AATTCGACAAAAAGAAGTGGAGATCAATTCATTGATATTTGAGCTTCAATCCATCTCTCCCTCTCTTGTCATTTATTGGAGAAGTTTTCTAAACTCTATCTAGCTTTACATTTTGTATTGTTTGATTATCATTCTATTAAGCTAGTATTTACTTTGAGTTTAGTTGATTTTATTTCACTCATTGTTTACACACACCCACTTGAGCTTATCGTATTTTCATACATAGTATATTTGGGTTGGTGACAGTTGTATCAATTGAGTGTGAGCTTACATTGTGTTCTCATCAATATTAGAGAACAATCATTTATTGTATTATGCTTATTGTGAGATTCACTTTGTAATACACTTGTACACCGAAAGAAGTGTGTGGTGTAAGTCGGGGATCATCCCAAGAGGAGTGGCGTCGGTTGACGAACCTAGGAAGAGGTTGTATCCGAGCACTTGAGGGAGACACGTCTAGGTCCAACACTTGAGAGGGTGTAGAGTGAGATTGCAAGAGTGTTGATTGTAAAGTTTTCGGTTAGCTAGAAAACCGAGTGTGAGATGTAAACGTTATTCGAGTGAACGTAGAAAACCCGGTTGTGATAGTGGATTTCTCCCCGAGAGTGGGGAGCAGAGACGTAGGACGGAAGGTTCGAACTTTATGATCATTTGATTGTGTTTGAGTGTGCTTTGGCGTTTATTCTTATTTGTGCTCATTGCTCATATCGCCATTGTCTCATTATTTAGTTTGCCCACTATCTAGTTTCAAATTGTTTACCCTTGTGTTAGTTTCATATCCTTGCATATATATCTTATAGTATATCTCATTGCTAGGATATATTTCTTTGTTCAAATTGTAAATTTTTGCTCATAATTAGTTGTATATCTATCTTATAAGAATAACTTGTTAATTAGTTTTAATTTGCATAAAATCGGATTAGATTAGCATAAGACCCTAATCACCCTCCCTCTAGGGTCTAACAATTTTGACAAAATCACTTATTTAAGTCTTTTACATTAAGGGGGTTTGTTAAGAGATGTGTAAAAGATCAAGAGAGTTTTTATAAGACACGTTAAGTCGAAGGGTGTTTTATAAAGTCACACCAAAGTTAAGAGGGATTATCTACAACACCTCTATATTTAGGAGGCTCTTTCAAATTAAATTAGTTGAGTGGTTTTTTTAAGGCATTCCCAATACTTGAGAGAGTTTTCAAAGAATTGATTATTCTTTTAAATTTAGCTCAAATATTTTATAATTCTATATTAGTACCTAAATTATAAACAATTTTAAAATTTTAAGGGGATAATATAGAATTATTGGAGGTTTAAAATCAATGAAATGATATCTAAATTACCTTTAAATATTACTCTTATAGGCAATATATGAAATATTGGCCGATATATTGCTCTATCGACTTATATCAAAGGTTAAATACTTTATCTTAATAATATTTATGGTTTTATATTGTTATTTGTTATTTAGGTATTTTTTCATCGAAAATATTGGCTGGTATAATAAAAACGAGTCATTTTTACTTTGATTGTGGGCTTGGTATTAGGTCGTGTTTGGAAACTAAAACTAAAGCACAAAAGCCACAATTCATATCCCAAATCTTTCCACTCTCAAGCATATATCTTGACGTAAATTCTTATATTGAAAATTCATCAATATCTGAGATTATAGATTATAACGTTGTATTATGTATGAGCATTATCTCATATGACACACAGATATTTTTTACATAACCCCGATTATTGCATTCCAATATCATGGATTTTATTTGTCTAGCATTTATATGATGCCCAACACTTTGTAATAGTCATTCGAAAGCATTTTCTAAAGTTTTCTAAGCAAAGTATATAAATTCAGAAATAATTCAAAATCTTAAGATTATTCAAAATATGATGTTTTAATTTTTCCACATTTCCTCTAGTATATAAATATAAGCTAACCATCTGGCCTCATATTATATGATGAATATTATTTATCAAATGGATCACATACCATTGCTTGTGGTTAACAAAGGCTTTAAATATTTATTGGATTAATTAAATTAAATACCTTTCAGTTTATAAAAGTTTTAATTACATACCTCCACTTGTATCTTTCTGCACTTAATTATCCTTATTTTTTTAATATTGCATGTATATACCTTCTATACACAAGAATACTATTTGTAATTTTCCTATATGAATATAATGATATAATTTTAGGATAATTCTATATTTTCTACTCTTTCCATTAATAATTTATTAACATGCAATTGTCTATTAATATATTATTAGACATTACTAATAATTAATATGAGAGTTTTACAATAACATTGAAAGTTTTAGGGACCAAGACAAACTTAAAGTGGCATATAATATGATTAATTAATAATAATAATTAATTTAGTTTAGTTAGGATTAAAATATAATATTTAAAAAATAGGGGTAATATAGTTCATAGAAAGTTTTTTCTACAACTTCCTCTTTTAAAGGGACTATGATTCTAAGCGAAGTATATAATTTCATTTATAATTCAAAATCTTAAGAATTATTCAAAATATGATGCTTAAAAATTTTCCACATCTTCTGTACTATATAAATATAAGCTAATTCTCTAGTCTCATATTATACGATGTATATTATTTATCAAATGGATCACATACTATTGCTTGTGTTTAACAAAGGATTCAAATCTTTATAGGCTTAATTAAACATATATAGTTTACAACTTACGAAAGTTACACTCATATACCTCCACTTATATCTTAATGCACTTAGATATCCTAATATTTTATAAAATTGCATGTTTTTACTTATGTACGCAAGAATACTCTTTATAATTTTTTTATGTGAGTGCCACGATATAATTTTAGGACAATTATATATTTTATACTCATTCCAAAATAATTTATTAGCTTGCAATTGTCTATTAATATAGTATTATGCATTATTAATAATTAATATGAGAGTTTTACAATAACATTGGAAGTTTTAGGGCCAAGTTAGACAAAATTAAATTGACACGTAATATGATTAATTAATAATGATAATTAATTTAGTTAATTTATTATTAGAATATAATATCAAAAAAGAATAGGGGCAATATAGTCCATGAAAAGTTTTTCCACAACTCCCTCTTTTAAAGGGAGTATGATATTCGATTTACTCTCTGTTAAGATTTCTTGGGCGGTGTTTCTTCCATTTGTTCCTTTTCATTTTCAGATGTTTGTATCCAGAATGATTGATTTCTATTGTACATTCTCATATAGTGTGAGTTTTACACTATTGGGCATTCAAGTTTCTATCCATGTTTATGCAGACTAATCTGTAGCCACAGAAGCTTATGGTTTATTCTCATATATTTAATCTATACGTAGCCACAGAAGCTTATGACTAGGACTTATAATCGCCTACTTAACAATTTGATTACCCATACTCTATTAATTAGTTTAGTTAGATTAATAACATGGACATATCAGCTATAAATGGTTAGTCGAAGGTTTCAGTTTAATATTTTCATGATTGTTGGTTATGATTGTGACGTGCTTACTATAGAAAGTGTTTGAATTGCAGAAAAAGGAAAAAAGGGGCAGTTAGTTAGGCGTATGATAGCGGGCAATTTCCTCCTGCTATCATGTGCCACTGCCTGGATCTCGTATGAAGAAGAAGAAGAAGAATGGAAATAGGGGGATTGTTGATGCTACTTTGAGAGACTCGATCTTCGTGTACCCTTCCTTATCCTCTGTGGGTGCAGCTGAGGGACCTGAGGAATCAATGGAGACAAATGATGCTATGGAAAACAATGGAACAATAAAGGATCTTAGAGCTTCATCCAGGAACTTAATGGAGATGGAAAGCACTGGCCCTAAGGGAGCTAAGAAGAAAATGCTAATGGAGGAGGTCCTATCTAAATCTAAGTCAATTTCAGAACCAAGCCTTCTCAGATCTGGACAAGTTCTTGCTCGTCAACTAGGTGAGACTCCTATTTCCCCCTCTTGGGCTGATGAAATGGAAGAGGAATTGAAAAATGATTTGAATGAATCAACGGTGATGATAGATGATGATCCTGAGATTTTTACTCCTTTTGTTGCTCAATCTTCAATTGAGAGGTTACAGTCTGTGTATTAGGATTCCCTCTCCCAATGAAAGAGTAGAATCTGAAAAACTCAATCTAGAAGGAGAGGAGAAAAGCAAAGTAGAGATTCCAGTTCAGAGAGAAGTGCTTGACAAGGAGGATGCAAAGAAATCATTTGTGAGTTTATTTGCTGATAACAGGAAGCTAGGTAAAGGTCTTGACCTTAATTTCATTCCAGCCTCTCCCTCTGAAACTGTATCATTTACTGCTGAAGAATGGAGGGAGGGTGTGGATTATTGGAAATACTCCTTAGTTGGACATGTTATAGGGCTGAATGTAAAGTTCAAATCTATGGAGTCATATATCAGTAAAGCATGGGCCAAAATATCAATTCCTAAGATATCTTTACTCAAGCAAGGGGTCTTCTTATTTGAGTTCCATTCTGATCAACAGATGAGGGGGGTGTTGGAAGCTGGGCCTTGGTTCTTTGGTTCAAGGCCTTTGATGCTACAACAGATGAGGGGGGTGTTGGAAGCTGGGCCTTGGTTCTTTGGTTCAAGGCCTTTGATGCTAAAACCATGGTCTATTGAGATTGAAATGGAGATGGTTCAAGGCCTTTGATGCTAAAACCATGGTCTATTGAGATTGAAATGGAGAAAATACAGGATTATTCCTACCCAATGTGGATTCAACTACCAAATCTGAAACTCAATTTGTGGAGTACAATAGGAATAAGCAAAATCTCTAGTTTAATTGGATGTCCTATAACTACTGATATGCTTACTGCTACTAGACAGAGACTTAGCTATGCTAGAGTACTAATTGAGGTGCAATTACCCCTGAAGAAACCTCTGCCAGACTAGACAGAGACTTAGCTATGCTAGAGTACTAATTGAGGTGCAATTACCCCTGAAGAAACCTCTGCCAGACCTAGTTGATTTTCAAGGGCCAGATGGGAAAAAAATACAGTCAGAGGGTTATCTATGAACTTAAGCCTAGATGGTGTTCAAACGGCAATATTATTGGGCATGATACTGACAATTGTAGAAGGCAAAAGTTCAAGAAAATATGGGTTCCAATTAATAGAAAGGAAGATTATGAAACTCAAGTAAATTGTACTCTGTCAGCTAATACTGAGTCTGTGCATGTTTCTGGTGGTCAGACTAATGCTAGTCTGGCTGAATCATCTGCTCAACAAATGAAAGATCAATCAAACAGTAAACATGCACAAAAGGTATCAGAGGCAAATATGAGAATTGATACTGGGAAAAATGCTCATGTTTTACCTGATAAAGGACAAACTTTATCTTCTGCACCTGGGAACAATACTCATGTATCACCTGATAAAGGGCAAACTGAATCTGGGAAACATGCACAGCACATGAGGTATGATATTCAGAGCATTAGACTTGGAAATTCTGGTTTGGCAACTTTTCATCAAATTTCTTCTCCAACAGTCAATGCTTCTGGGTTTTCAAGTGTTAATAGGACAAATATTGCAAGAAGAGTTTTAGCTAGAGCTCTAGGGAATCAAATTCAGGTATCCACTTTTTCTCCTCTGGAATCTCAGACTCTAGATTTTGACCCCTGTTACATAGATAGGGGGGAGAGCAATAATTCACTTTGCTATTTGGAATATTAGGGGATTTAATAAATCCCCTAAACACTTAATTGTGAAGCAATTCATTCAAGACTATAAATTACCTTTTATAGCTCTATTGGAAACAAAGCTTTCTGCAGGAAATATGGCTAAAATAGCTCAAAAAATTATTAAAAATTGGGAATGGATTTCTAATATTCAAGAAGCAGGTAATGGGAGAATTTGGATTCTATGGAATAGTGATATTCTTTCTATTCAGTGTGTCAAAACTTCAATGCAATATGTTATATGCTCAGTCAACACAAAGGATGGCAGGTTTTCTTGCTTAATGACTGTGGTTTATGCTCTGAATCAAAGAGATGGAAGAAAAGTATTATGGCAGGATCTTCAAGTCTTCAAGCTATCAGTTGATTGCCCCTGGCTAGTTGGGGGAGATTTTAATGCCATTACTAATGGTGATGAAAAGTTGGGAGGTGCACCAATTACAGGAGCTGACACTAAAGATTTTCAGCACTTCATTTCTTCTAATCAACTGGTGCATATTAAGACTACTGGGTGCTTCTACACATGGAATAGCAAGCAGGAAGCTGTTACTAGAGTTTGGAGCAGATTAGACAGAGTTTTGGTAAATGACTTATGGATCCTACAGTATACATCAAGTCAAGTAGACTTTTTGCAGCCAGTTTGTTCTGATCATTCTCCAGCTCTTCTTACAGTTGGAGATGATGATTTTTAGGGGAAAAAGCCATTCAAGTTTTTCAAGATGTGGACTAAACATACTGAATATCTCTCTATAGTCAGATCTATTTGGCAGCAGGATATGCAAGGTTATTATATGTACAAACTATCTTTGAAGCTGAAAATGCTCAAACCTGCCCTCAAAGAATTAAATAGAAGACATTTCATGAATATTAGTGAACAGGTGTTAAGAGCCAAACATGAGCTATCTGATATTCAAAATAGGATGAGTACTGATCTATTCAACTCTCATCTTATTTCCAAAGAGAAAGAATGCTTGAAAAAATACACCTCTTTGCTCCAATGTGAAGAATCGTTTTATAGGCAGAAAGCAAGCATAAAATGGGCTATTCAAGGAGACAAATCCTCTCATTTCTTCCATTCAGCCATGAAAGCTAGAAGGCATCAAAATAGGGTGTTGTCTCTGTATACTGAGGATGGAAATAGAATATCTGACATGGACACAATCATCAATGAGCTTATTAACTACTACAAGAGTTTATTGGGAGTTTCTGGAAATGTTTCTGAGCCTGATATTACTACTATAACCAATGGTCCTATTCTCTCATCAAGTCAAAGAGAATTCTTAGCCTCTCCTGTCACTAGGGAGGAAATAAAACTTGCTGTTTTCACTATGTCTGATGATAGAAGCCCTGGTCCTGATGGATTTAGTGCATCATTCTTTAAAACTGCTTGGAATGTAATTGGATATGAGATGTGTAAAGCAGTGGAAGAATTCTTTTATACTGGCAAACTCCTTGGCACCTTCAACTCAACCTCCATCACATTGGTGCCTAAAATTCTTAATCCAAGATCTCCCTCTGATTATAGACCTATCTCTTGTTGCAACTGTGTTTACAAAGTAATATCTAAAATTATTGCCGCCAGAATCCAGAATGTTATTGGTTATCTGATTGATGATGCTCAGAGTGCATTTGTCAAGGGCAGGCTGATTTCTAACAATATTCTCCTAGCACATGAACTCTTAAAACACTATGGAAGGAAGAATGTCTCTCCAAGAGCTGTCCTTAACATTGATTTGAGGAAGGCATTTGACACTATAAATTGGAGTTTTATCAAGGCTATGCTGACAGGTCTGGGATTCCCTGATAATATGGTTACATGGGTGATTGAATGCATCTCTACCTCCAAGTTCTCTTTGTCACTTAATGGCTCATTACATGGCTACTTTGAGGGGGCTAGAGGATTGAGGCAAGGAGATCCATTGTCTCCCTATTTGTTTGTGCTTGGTATGGAGTATTTATCCAGAAAACTCAAATTTCTCAGCACAGACAGACTGTTTAAATACCATCCAAAATGTGCTAGATGGGTATTACTCACCTAATTTTTGCTGATGATTTACTACTCTTTTGTAGAGCGGACAAGGTTTCTATAGCCAAAATAAATAACTGCCTTCAGGAGTTTAGTAAAGTATCTGGATTGGAGGCCAACTCTTATAAAAGCTCTGTCCTCTTGAGTGGGATTCAGGAGTTTAGTAAAGTATCTGGATTGGAGGCCAACTCTTATAAAAGCTCTGTCCTCTTGAGTGGGATTGAAGACATTTCTAAAGTTCAAATATGCTCATATTTAAATTTTCCAGAGGGTTCTTTACCTATGAGATACTTAGGAATGTCATTGGTCTCTAAAAGGCTCTCTTACCTGGACTGTTCATCATTGATCTCAAAAATTTCGGATAAACTTCAAGTCTGGCAAAGTAGGAAGAACTTATCTTATGCAGGGAGGATTCAACTTATAAAAACTGTTATCTTGGGTATTCAAACATACTGGACAAGTAACTATATCTTGCCGATCAGGGTATTGGAAAAAATTGACATGCTTTGCTCTGCTTTCTTATGGGGAAGCAAAATCCATCAAGTCTCCTGGATAGAGGTTTGCAAGGATAAGAAGATAGGAGGTCTGGGGTTATTCTCCACCAAATTGTGGAACTATGCTGCAGCAATCAAGATGTTATGGATGATACACTCTAAAAAAGATCTCTTGTGGATAAAATGGGTGCATGGAAATTACTTAAAACAACAGGAGATTTGGCAAGTTCAACCGAGAAAAAGTGATTCATGGATGTGGAGACAAATCCTAAGGGTGAGGGATTTGGTATTGAGGAGGTTTGGGAATGTGTATAACCTGCATAGAATCATTGCTAACTGTCACAATAATGGGACAATGAAAATTTCATCTGTTTATAATGCCATCTCCCAATCTTCAGCAACTGTCTGTCACAATAATGGGACAATGAAAATTTCATCTGTTTATAATGCCATCTCCCAATCTTCAGCAACTGTCCCCTGGGCAAAAACAGTTTGGGGAGGTTTGCATTACCCCAAGCATTCGATGATTCTATGGCTTGCTACTCTATCGAAGCTTCTGACTAAGGATAGGTTGTGTCGCATGGGTATATTGGAAAACAACCAGTGTGTGCTCTGTGCTGATTCTGTAAGTCATCAAGAATCTAGAAATCACTTGTTCTTTGAATGCCAGTTTTCTTCCTATGTATGGAACAATTTGATGGCATGGCTGAAGTATTCGTGGAGATCCTGCTGCTAGAATCAGGTATTGCGATGGTATAACAACAATTTGAGGGGGCTTGGATTCAGAAAGAAACTGAAAAGAATGATGTTATCTGGAGCTGTGTATTGGATATGGAAGGAGAGAAATCAGAGAATTTTTCAACAAAAAGCCCATAGCCCTGATCAACTTATCAAGGAAATAAAGATTTCATTACTCTCAAAAGTTCTTAATGAAGATGTTCCTGAGTACTTGAAGGAAGAAATAGCAAAATTGTAAACTGTTAGTGGGGCTTCAGTTCCTTGTTTGCCAGATATGATTCTGGTAGTTCTTGTTGCACTCTTATTTCAAAATTTGGTGATGAATAAAATTTATTTCATTGACAAAAAAAAAGTGTTTGAATTTGTAGACAAAAGTTGGGAAAGTTAATTTACTCAAAATGAGATTTATAGATATTGTTAGCTGCATATATAGCATATGCAGGTGCTATTATGGTAACTAATATCTACTAAGTGGAGTATATAGATAGATCAATCTTAGCTCAAAAAGATGAACATAGGAACTTACTTATGGAGCGACTAACTCAACAAAGTGATAGAGATTATCGTGAACAACTACGCATGGGAGTTAATGCTTTTGCTAGACTGTGTCAGTTGCTTAGGGAGACGGGACGTCTTTATGATAATAGACGTAGTTCTGTAGAGGAACAAGTTGCTAAGTTCCTTCAAATTCTTTCTCATATTTGGAAGAATCGAGCAGTAAAGTTCTATTTTATGTGTTCGGATGAGACTGTTAGCCGCCACTTTCACAAAGTATTAGAAGTATTACTATCGCTTGAGGATCAATTTATTAAACAACTAGATGGCTTCGAAGTTCCACTAGAATTCAGACAAATCATAGATTCTGGCCCTATTTTAAGGTAAAATATAAAAATTTTGTAATAAATATTACATCATAATAATAATAGTCAAGTTTCTAATCACTTTGTTAATCTATTATAGAATTATATTGGTGCAATTGATGGATCTCATTTTCGAGTGAAAGTGGGAAAAGAAGATACAAGAAGGTATCGAGGTCGAAAAGAATTTCCAACTCAAAATGTGCTTTCCGCTTGCACCTTTGACTTGAAATTCACATATGTTCTAGCTGGTTGGGAAGGGTCTGCTTCAGATTCGCGGGTGTTGAATACTGCAATAATACGACAAGATAAAATATTTGTTCCTGATCAAGGTGACAACGCTTAGGTCCAATCATTTTTAAGATCAGATAAGACCTTGTTTATATAAACACATTTTAACCGTTAAATTTTGTTCAATTTTAAGAAAATATTATTTAGTTGATGATGGTTTTATGTTGAGGTCGGGATTCCTCACACCATTTAGGAGCACATGTTATCACCTCAAGGAATATTCAATAAGACAACCTGAAAGTCCTCGTGAAGTGTATAACCATCGTCACTCTTCACTGTAAAATGCAATTGAGCGTGCTTTTGGAGTCTTGAAGAAGCGGTTTCCAATATTGGGTAATGGAACAGAACCTCATTACCCAATTAAAACACAAAAAGATATCATTTATGCATGTACTATCCTACATAATTTTCTAATGGGTGTTGATCCTGACGAGGGGCTTCTTGAACAAGTTGATCAAGAAGTTTTGAACCAGATGATAGATGTTGAAGAAGCTCCTGTAAATGATAATGAAGAGTATAGACGAGGAGAGATTCTAAGGCAACAAATAGCCGATGATATGTGGAGAGATTATTAGAAATATTTTTATTTTTCAAATAGTCTTTTCTAAGGTGTTCTATTCCTTTTTTTTTGGATAAAGTAATGACTTAAAAAATCCATATTCAGGTGAATTTTCAAACAAGCTTTATTGTCCAAACAAGCTTTATTGTCAATCTCTAGGAAAGAATGTCCAAACAAGCTTTATTGTCTCTCTCTGTAAATAGGAGATCGACTTGCATACCCAAGGTTAGTAGCTTTGGCTACAGCTCATGGCTTTGATGGTAATCAGTCACTTGGTCTTCCCCATAGCGTGGCCTGGGAACATTGTACAATGGTATGCAGCTGCTTGGGCTTGGATATGGTGATCACTCGCATATGAATACAAAATATTATACAATGTTATGCAGCCGTTTGGGCTTCGGGTTACGTTTTTTCGGTGATCCTTTTTTTAATTATTAGATGTCGTTGTTTCCTCTTAATTAGCTCATTTGTTTGTTCTACCTGTTTAATGTTTTTTTAGGAGTATTTGGTACCTTGTTGTTTGAGGTAATGTCGAGTGTTGATGGCTCTGGATATTTAAATGTCTTTAATTAATATAGTGTTGCCATTTTGGTTGAATTGGATGAGTTTAGTTAGGGTTCCTGTGTCTGAGTAATGTAGTCTATTCGCTATTTTTTGTTTAGAGAAGGAAGGCTGATTATTAGCAGATAGCTCGTGAGCGCTTTTTGTACTCTTTATCATTTAATTATCATTCTATAAGAATTGTTAGTTGTTAGTATGTCAGTAAGTGTGCTTTTAATCCGCAATATTCATCTTCTTTACTGGCTAATAATGTAGGCATTTTTTATACATAAGTCTCATTGTTAATCTTGTTGTATTATCTTGACGAACTATGAAGAATCAAACCCTTTTTATTTGCCTTATCGGTCATCATAGACAATGATTCCTGATTAATATTTCGTATGGAGAAACACTACTACTGCTAATGACATATCCGTATACACACACACAAAAATACACACACACACTATATATATATGTGTATGTGTTAAATACTAATCTTCTAAGTAATATTGCATATTAACAAGCAGGCCGCTCAGATGGATTCACAACTTAGAAGTCAATCAAGTTCAAAGAAAAAAATTGTATGGACAGAGAAGATGGATGTTTTCTTAACTGAAACATTGAGAGAACAAGTACACAAAGGGCAAAAGCCTGATAGAAGTTTCTCATATCATGCTTATCAAGCAACATGTGCGGAGTTATATGCTAAATGTGGAATAAAAGGTTGAAGTGGATCATATTAAAAACCGATTGAAGACACTTAAAAAAGATATGGGTGCATTTCATGATATGCAGAACTCTTCTAGTGGATTTTTGTGACGCCCCTAGTTTCAATAAGACTGCAGTCCAAGGTGAAACTAAAAATGGCAAACCTGTCAAGCACCAAACACCATGCTACGACATGCTTCATCATCACAGTCACTACCTATCTAGTAGAATCAATAACAGATGTAGGTATAAAAAAGGTAAAAGAGAGTATACAGAAAGGAAACTAAACAACAGATACTCAGAAGAATAATCACTACCACTTATATAAATGGATAAGTCTCTAAAAAGGTAATATCTGAACTGAATACAAATGTCTCGACATAAGAATCAAATGAAATGATATTAAGGCATATTGCCTATACAAAACTAGAATAAAAACTCAAATGTTTCATAAATACATCTATTGTGGAGTTCTGACATAAACTACTAGCAAAAATTAAAAATGGTAACAAGAACAACTCCATCAAGCTACGGCTCTCCGTACACCTGGCTCGTTACCTAAAAGTGGGGAAACAACGAGCGTCAAAGTGCTATAGCGAGTAACATCTCAACCAACCCCAGGGGAAAGGGCTAGAAGGATAAAAAATATCAGATAATACATATAGATAGCCAGACATCAACTGTAAAAATAAAATAGAGGTTTGATGTTTAGAAATTTACAACACGAGCATAGGTACGCCTCCCTTAGCTCAAATTATAAATAGAAAAATACCAAATTCAAAAGCTATAATATGGAGTAATAACTCTATCTCCACTCGAAATATTGTAAACTTAGGTTCGGGATAATTATCATCGTTTAATCCGTGTTGAACCAATTCAAAAAATCGCCATTTTTCTAGACCGTGATGAGGACATTGGATTAAAAGATCTTTAAATCGGTCAAAGTATTTCCAGAATGGCTCTCCTGGGATAATTTTGAAGTTTTGAATGATGTTCCTAAGCTTTACCGTTTTGTGAATAGGAAAAAAATTCTTAAGAAAAACGGTGACAAATTCCTCCCAAGTTGAGATGGAATTTGTCGGTAAACTGTACAGCTATTTTTTAGCTTTGTCCTTAAGGGCAAATGGAATAAATCTAAGATTAATCGTATCTTCAGTTAATTCCCTCATTTTAATCATAATACATACTTCCTCAAATTCCGAGATAAAAATATATGCATCTTTTGTTTCATTACCTAGGAATTTGGGAAGCATGTTTATGTAATGCGGTCTAAGCTCTTATGCAAGATGGAATTGTATTTCTGGTAGGGTAACACATATCCTGAAGAACGGGCTGATTTGCCATTTCTTGGATTGGTTCAACACGGATTAAACGATTAGAATTATCCCGAACCCAAGTTTGCATACACCAAAACAAATATTTTTTTTCTTTTTAAGGAAAGAAAGAAAATTAGTTTTTTTTTTCTTTTAAGGAAAGAAAGAAAATTAGTTTTTATTTTTTATTTTTTATATGAAAAGATAAAGAAAAAGAAAAATCCTAACTAAAACAAATCAAGGCAATCACTTTTCAATCAACTCTAACTCTAGGGTTTAGCCTAACTCAACTAGACCAGCTCCTAACCAAAAACTCCTATAGTGAAAAGATCAAAGTTTTACCTAGGTAGTTAGCCAGGTAAGGATAGTACTAGAGGGTGATCAAAGATCAATTAAGTACCTCTTTCCTTACGGAGCGCTTTACGCAACCCCTAAACCTTGCCTTAGACACCAACTATTCTGAGAAAACTTAAACCGTTCACTTAAGGATTTCTTGTTCCTTATTGAGCTCGAATCCTTAGGGGCCAACGTCTAATGAGTTTTAGAAGGCTTGGGTTTGTGAAGTGAGGAATTAGTGATTTGTGGGCTAAGAAAAGGGTGATGAAATCCCTTACCTTATCTTGATTGGGGTTTTGCCCTTAAGAATGTTTTAAGCGTGTGCCAAATCAAGTGCTACAATCACTTTGGTGAATTCCTACACTATATGAAATGCAACCCTAGAAATTAAAAGTGACTGAAAAGGATGATAAAAAGAAAATCTTTATATTTTTTTTAATTATGGTCAACAACATAGACTTTTGATGATTTGTGTCAACAACATAGACTTTTGATGATTGCAGGCACTCTCATCAGTTGACTGATGTCATCAGTCGACTGACCAGTCGACTGATAACAGGTTATCAGCCTGAATCGATTTTAAAATTGAGTTTCAAGGCTCTGTAAAAAATAGTAAATAAATTCCAAGAAA